ATGTATCCGACCAAAATATCGCATGAAATTTGACCCAGATGGTTTTAATTGATGCAAAGCTTCGATCCCATTTGTCTTATTACTCAGGCGCTTTCTCCTTCGAGGAAGTTGAGCTTTTATTTTGAGTTTTAGCCAAAATGAAGGGCGCTTTTTTTTTTTTTTTTTTAAAGAAACTTACAAGAAGGGAGGCCTTAATTCAGGATTTTACTGCAGGAACACGACTTAGATCACCTTCGTGGTCAACCTGTACTAAGTATGAAAGAATCTTTAAGCTTCCTCACAGGTATCTAGGCCAATTTTAACTGCTAGAGCTGATAAAACGCTTCTCTGATCCTGTATGGCGTCAATGATTGACAGTTGCCGTCTCTTAGCCCTCATCAATTCCTTAGCAAGAGCTTCCAGTCTCTGTTCGTCCTCGTTCTCGGCTGTTCGTTCTTCATTACTGAGGTCTTCGTCTTCAAAGGAATATTTCCTAACAATGAAGTAAAAGGACGTCAAATTTATTTAAAAAGTGAATCACGTTCTGAAACAGTTTACCTGGAAGTCTCTGATCTAATGCCTGGAAACGTTTTTTGGAAATGGTTGCTAGCAATATAAAGAACTACTACTCTGTTATTACGAGGTCATAAGGCTAAAACATTGAAATCCAATTTCATTTGCGCTTTTTAAAAGAGAAGTGCAGGTTTAGCGTGCGTAGGTAAGGCCACCAAAAGGAGTTGTCTCGAAATGCTTTACATGTTTGTTTTTTTGGTCACCTGTTCTCTTTATGGAAAAACATGGTAATTTTCAATAAACTTTGAAAATGGGAGAGGGCCAGCTTCGTCCCTCATCACTACCAACAAGTTAAATACGTTTTATTCGTGAGAGAGAAATCTTAAAGAATTTAGTTTTATTCGACGGAAAAGTTTCTGGCTCGAACTCAAGAGTAGCAGTTGATCGTGTACAGTGGTTGTCTTGTCGAAAGCTGTTCTTCCGAGTACGGTTGACGGTGACTGAGCCTTCCGTTCGAAAAGCCTGAGCAAAAGTCAGAGTCAAAATACTCTATCTGCTCCCCAATAACTAGAAACTCACCCTGACGAAATTTTTCTGTCCACGTATCGTCCAGTTACGACCAACTCAGGCTTGTGTAAACGCCGAGTAACAAATTTTGGTAAATTTCTTTCAACTCCTACCACGAAGTCTACGAATTTTCCCTTGTTTCTCATAAACGCATACTTTTGCACAGATTCTATGTCTCCCACAGCTAAACCGACCTGAGAAAAAGAAAAAAAAAGATAGTAACTGAAAGAGTAAAAAATTCTCGCGAGTTCACGCCAAAGAGAGCAGTACAGTCAGTAAAAGGTATTTTGGAATCGATACTTAAGCCTGACATCATTTTTTCACGACCATGAAAGGACCAACATTTTACCAAGCACCTCCACGCGTATGAAGCACGTGGATTACTTAAAATATCCTTTAAACGTGGTGGATGGAAGTTAACGGCGGTTATTTACCTATCGTATAGGCTTTTGGAGCGAATTATGGAGTTAGGAGGCCCAAACATTCCCCTGGATGAGTTGTACCATAATACCTGCGGGTTCATACCATTAAGGTGGGTCCAGGCACATCCTCCCACGTAAACGTTTTAAGCTTTATACACGTTCAGGTGCTATTTCAGTGATTTGAAACTATAGATTCCTTCAGAGTTTCACTTTCAAGCAGTCGTAAACTAATTTTTACGTACATTTTCCCCAAGAAACAGAAAGGAGGGTTAGTCCGACACCCGCTTGAATGACGTTCAGTGTGTCTTGCCACTTACAAGTTAGTCGTCACAATTACTTACCAAAAGATTCATAAGGATAATGGGCATGGCAAAGATGAAGAGGCAGAGAAATACGAAGGATGATTCACGGTAAGGCACGAGAGGTGCTTTGGTCTCTGGATTGGTGGCTTCCAAGTTGTCCACTAGCAAAGTGGTATAATCCAATTCACCGATGGTCATGACTATCACTTTCACCAGCGTCACGAAAAATGTGTCAAAGGCATTCTAAAACGAAGAAATCTCTTCAAAATCAGTCAAGAAGTGTAATCAAAACAAAAAAATAAAAACAAAAAAACAAAACAAAGATATCACGCCCTACCCGGGCTTTTTTTTAGACCCACACAATTTGTACATTTGTCGCAAGCCTTGTCCGGCTAATTAAATGGTCGATACGAGAATTACGATGAAATATGTACATAGTTAATCAGAGGGACAAAGATAAAACTGTATTTTTGGCATTGTCTACAGTATCGCAAGCGAATATCTTTGTTCCGCAGGAGAAATAATTCAGAATACAGAGGACCTAGGAAAGAGAGCTCAAGATACGTACTTGCTCCCTGAACAATATGTAGAAAACCACCGAAAAAGCCAAGGTGAACAGGAAGAAAAGACTGATGGCTTTGAGCACCGTGAAAGCCACTCGAAAAAACATTGTCACGTAGATGCCGACATAGTCCAAAGTCTGAACAAACAATATCAGGTTCATGTAGCCCAAGAACACAGCGACTGTCCCTATCTGCCAGGTTATCCTAGGGTTTCCTTGAAGACTTGAAAAGCTGGACGAGACGTATGGCAGAATAAAAACTATGCTCGCTATATAAAGCACCCATTCCACCAAGTTGGTCAGTTGTTGGAAATATTCCATTCGTTGAAGGACAATCTGATAGAGTTCTTTGGCCAAATGAAATGACGCAAATACCAGTATGAGGAAAGGAATAACTTGATTCAATGCCTCCTTGTTCGTGAACATGTCATCGTCGTCGGGATCATCTTTATCATGTTTCCGCTTCAGGATCACCGCTTTACGCTTTGTCACCATGAAGTACGTCAAGGAGAAGAGGTACAAGAAAAACAAGATAAGGTTTGTCCAATAAACAAACCATCCATATCTGCGCCACTTTATCTTGAGAAGTTTTCTGCAAAGCTCATGTACCAGGAGTTCCTTTTCTTTGTGTTCCACCATGACCTTTAGACCAAAGAAACGCTCCCCATTTGGTCCGCTTGTATCATCAGGACCTGGATCCAAAAGGCTGAAATCATACCTGATGAATCGTTGGCTGAGAGACCGCTGGACGCATCGATCCATGATCAATTTAGCAGCATCAGGGAACCGCTGAATGAGTTTTCCCATCCTATTTTGACCATCTGGGCTATTGGCTGATAGGACCTCTCTCCATCTGGTATTGAGTGAAAACAATTTCTTTAGAAAAAAATCGAAGGCTTTCTCTTTCCGATTCAAGTTTCTTCATTAATCATAATCTAACTGGAGAATGCTTTTAGGTCGATATGAATTTTAACCCTAGACCTCTAAATCAAAAATTTACCTTGCATTCTCAATCATTTCCATGACAACATCTCCTTGTTGATTCTCTATGGCCACATCGAGGCAGTTAAGACCGCTTATGTTTGGTTTCAAGATCGCCCGATTGTTCAAAAGAATCCTCACGGCGGCTACGTGACCACTGGCAGAAGCAAGCAGAAGCGCAGTGTTACCACTTTTGTCTTCTTGATTTATATCAGCATTCAGCTCAAGAAACATTCGAATTAATTCAGAGGCACCCGTTTTGGCCGCAAACATTAAAGGTGTCCAGCCATAAGCGTCTGAAACGTCAACTTCAGCTCCCATTTGGAGAAGGATTGAACATGTTTTCCTGCAAAAATGGACACCTTAATTGCAAAACAATGCGGCTAAACGGCTATTTCTCCTTCGTAACAATACAGGAGCTGTATTAAACTTGGTTTACGTATAAATTACTCTCAAAATGTATTATGCGAAGTTCGCGAAAAAGGCACAAAACTCTATCAAATTAAGGCTTATAATGATCTCCACTCGTCTAAAGGATTTTCATGTACCAAGCTATGATATGTACCGGTACTGGGGATACGTTCAGGACCTGACTAAGCCTCACCCTTTTCCATTCAATGCTGCAAAATGAAGAGACGTTCTTCCTTCTGAATCTTTTTGATCAACACAGGCAAAAGAGGCTTTGGCTAAAGCTTCAACATGGCGGTCCTTTCCAAACTTTGCTGCAGTATGTAGTGGAATTATGCCAGCACGATCCTTGAGTAAGCAGTTCGCTTTCTTTTCCAACAAAATCTCCAGAAGCTGCAAATAAAGGATATGATGATTTTGTTCAAGTCAACTGTCTGACCAAACCCACTCAACAAATATGGGCGAAAGTCAGATTTTAGTATTGCCTGTACCTTTAACTTTGTAGAGGAAGCGGCGTAGTGAAGAGCTGTCCTTTCCTGTATGTCCGGAATATTTATACATTGTGATCCCGATCTTTCCAGTAGCATTTTCAACATTTCTGCTTTTTCATTTTCTACAGCGAGATGAATGCTGTCACGCTGATTCTTATCACGAGCTGCGATATTCGCACCGTACTCAAAGAGCAGCTTGGCACAATTTGTGTGACCAGCTGCTACAGCACATAAGAGAGGCGTCATACCCTCTAAATCTTTGGGATCTGGAGTAAAGCAGTTGTTGAGAAGGACTTTGATACATTCTGGGTTTCCGATTGATGCCGCACTAAATGCACATGAGCAACAACAGAAAAAGACAAAATGGTTCAGAAAGAAACGATGTTAGCATTTAGTCCTAATATTGCAATAAATAATTTCTTAGCTTAGTGTTAAAAAGTAAGTTTAGGCAAACACAGTTTTAATGGATAAAATATTTTTTAGCCATTTGAATCATTTTATTTGTACTTTCCATAAGTCTCTTTGATTTTTAGGGAAGCTACCGGAATAATCCGCCAAATTTCAAAAGGTATCATTCTTCCCACCCAAAGAACAAACTGAGAGCTTTATTTTGCCTATATCCATAACATGAAACAAAATTGGTTAGCAAACAAATACTAAGAAAGGTGGTTGATGTAAATTAAGCAGAATTTTTCGAAAATCTTTCCTTGGATGCCGAAAACAACTTCTTTGCAAACCAGTGTTAAGTTTCAGGTGTTGTTCACCTAGTACAAATCTGAGAGGTCTGAGGGCAAAAGGTAAATAGGTGTTCTGTTGCATTCTTACCTGTGTAGAGGAGTTCTTTGTTTGTAGTCTTTTTGATCCGTTTGAGCTCCTTGTTTGATAAGTAATTCCAAGATATCTTTGTTTTTACCCATAGAAGCCACGTGCAAAGGCGTTTGTTGATGCTTGTTTTGCAAGTTGACATTTGCATTATGTTGCAAAAGTATTCGACATGCAGATAAGTGACCTGTCTGAACAGCTAGGTGAAGAGCAGAGTTATGGTCTTTGTCTTTTCTGTTGACCAACTGATCAAATTCTGGGAAGTCCTTGCCAGACCACACAGCATCTACAGGGTACTGGCAGATGTTCGCGAGAGCTGAAAGCATCAAACCCTATTATAAGATTTATATAATTTTGAAGCTTTGGAGCGTTTTGTCAAAATAAGATGAATTAAATACCATCGTCATTTGATTTAGTCACCATGGGAGACAGACAATTAATTGGCGAGACAGTCAGTCAGTCGGTCGTTCAGTCATTAAGTCAGTCAGCCAGCCAGCCGACCAGCTAGCGCACAGTCAGTCAATCAATCGATAAGACAGTCCGTCAGTGGCAGGGCTTTTTGTGTGTGCATCGCAATCGTCCAGATGAAGGTAGCTCAGATCGTCCAGACGTAAGCCACTGTCATCAACAGTAATCCCTTTTCAGGAATGACCCCTCCCAGACAATTTCTCGACTGTTACTCCTGGTTACAAACCATCTACATAATAACCATTAGTAAAATCTCATTCAAGACGGCTGGTCGATCATTCTGTGCTGTGTCAATCTATTTTCGTGCGATCTACGTTGATGTATCATCTTCTCATAAAAGCAGTTTGACCAACTGATACAGTCCGTCCGTGCGAGAAATCAGTGATATTTCTGCTGATGGATGAACGAACCTTTCATACTTACCAGTTTGAATGACCACAGAAAGAATACCCACGATGCCAACATCTGCTGCTAAATGAAGACACGTCTGCCCGTCTCTCGTAACTATGTAGATACTAGCCCCTTTGGCAATGAGATCGCTACAGATGTCCTCGTATCCATGATTAATGGCCAAATGAAGAGCAGCCAATCCGTCCCAGTTAGTTGCGTTAATTTTCAAAGTTTTTACATAGAGCAGTCGTTTGATGATCTCTCTATTGCCGTATTGGGTAGCAAAGTGAAGAGGAGAATAACCTCTATTTGTAGATTCATTGTTTGGATTGGCTCCTTTTTTCAACAAATTGTCAAAGGCTTCCAATGAATTATACCTGTTAGAAACATCGCAGACATCAAAATCCTACTGTAGATTAGGACTTGCCCTTAAAAAAATGATGAGGATACGGCAAATAAAAAGAAGAGCCATTGAAAATGTTGCAGATATTTTCTAATAGGTTTTTATCGGAAAATATCCGGGCATAGCTGATGGTTTAGAATACAAAATTTGACATTCGAAGATTCAAGGTTCAAATTCTCTACTCCATAATTCAATCGGTTTTTGTTTCTCCGAATTCTGAGTTGGATTCGTCTTCTGCAGTTTTCACATAGCCATCTGTTTTTTTCTCCAAAAAGTTGTTATCGGTAATGATCGACTTGCTTGGTATTCTATTCCATTTGGTTACTGACGTATTTTGAAACAGTGTTCCGGAACGAACATAGGCCCACCGTTGGGTATTACTGAGCCGGCAATGATATGCATTTTTACCTTCGATAGAGTCAAATCGAATGAAAAGGATGTCTCCCTCTCTTTGCATACAGCTAAAATCTTTTAGCAATATAACAATGATAAAAAACGAAATGGCTGACGCAAAAACTTTATATCGTGGTTCACAGAAAGTTCTATATCTGTGCGAGAGTTCAGTGTTATGACGAAATTTATCATATAAACTGCGGTGTTAAACAAGAATTTCCAGCCCTGAGAAAAGCAGTAACAACACAAGTGAACAAATACGATAATTTTTCACGTGTGTTTGATATCGGAAATCAGCTGCTGACTGACGTCACTCGCCTTTCGCGCTACTCAGTCACGATGATGAATGAACGGCAAAGCCTTCACCATTTTCAATCCATAATCGTTTGTCAGAATTTTCTCTTATGACTGCTAAAACACTGAAAAATTAGTATCGCTTAAAGACAGTGACGTTCAAACTTTCCTAGAAGAGAAAGGAAACCAAATTACGAAAAGGAAAACCGAAAGATATGTATTCAGTGGCTTTGATACTGACATTTCTTGCGGCTGAGGACAAAAACCGACAACTGGAAGATTTGACACAGGCCGAATTTTGCTGTGTACCTGAAAGATTTCTTCTGTCGGTAAGGAAAAAGTCAATACCTGAGAATTTTGTAAATTGATAATTACGCCTATTGTTGTTCTTGAGCCTTGGCGCCCACGCACTCTACGATTTTATTCGGGGATTGTCGATCCTTTTATTTTCATTCATCAATTAAGTCGATTTTTCTTGTAAGTAAAGGGCTATTGTGTTTATATGATAAACAAAATAATACATGTTTACTTGTAGATATGGCATTTATCTTCTCGTGTTCAACCGACGACATCTCACTCGTTTGCTGCGCTCAATCGCGAGCTTGCAAGTTGACTAAGAAGAGAAATACCATATCTGGGCGCGCCCATGTATTATTCTCTATTCAAAGTGCCGATGATTGTAACAAGAACTAGATTTAAGATGAATTCAAATCAAATATTTAAATCATCATTTTTTATGGATGAAGTTGCAATAGTTGCATTCTTCTAACACGAAGAATGTTGTCCAAGTTAAATTTGGCGGACTTTTTCATAATAACTCAAGCACTAAGCTTATTTTTGAGAAACTTTCTCCATTATATATGAAATTAGAGGAAAAGCGTTAAATTTATTAGAAACCATTGAAAATTACTGGTGTGTCCATATTTACCTTGCAGCTTCATGCAATGGCGTAAGTCCATCCCTGCTGTAAACATCAACATTGGCTCCAGCTTTAATCAGGAAATCGATGACTTCAACTCGGTTCATTCTTGCCGCGTGGTGGAGAGCAGTATCACCATTCTGATCCAAGATATCCACTTTGTTCTCCGTCGATGATAAATAACTTTTCATTTTATCAACTTGTCCTTTAGCTATGGCCTCGTATAGATCGTTCACTTTGCAAGGAAACACTCTCTCAAAACGAGGTTCAGTCGGCGAGTCTGCTTCATCGTGACTGGGACAAGACAGATGAGGAGAAGGTGTAAAGGTGAAATGCATTTAAACTTTAAACACAAGTACCAAATACTTGTCAGTAGTCCAAAACTTCCTCCTGTTGCGAATACTGAGCTTGCAAGAGGATTAATGCTTTCTAGTTACTTCGGCTCTTAGGGGGCAGTCGCTGCATCCTTTGCTGACCACATTTTCTTCAAGTGTGGTTTCATTATTTCAAATCTTTTCATTGCAGAATTAGGACTTGCATATTTTTACAATTGCTATGATCGCGGAAGAAAGGCAAAGGGAGAAAAAAGAACTACAACTTTTTATTCACGTGCAAAGGCAATTAAGGTGTCGAATATGCAATTCAGCTTTTGAGGGTTTGCCTTTTTTTTTTAAGTCATTCATTTCTGTCTATAACCAAAACTGATTTCCATAACAGTAACATGCAATTAAATTCTGCTGAGACATTGCATGCTATGAATTGTTGACGGTTAACCTCTATACGAATCTTAAGTTCTATTTTTCCCTCGTGTATGAAATTCTTCATGAACGCCCAATCTGTCCAGAGGTGTTTAACGAGAGTGTCGCCACGAATTTGAACTTTGGGTTCCTTGGAATAAATAAGATTTCAGAGATTGTCCCACCCTTAGTTTTGATCCTCTCACAGTAACGAACGTAGAGGCAATTATGATTATCAATAAGGAAATATTAGGCACAACTAACAAAAACACTTACACTGCCAAAAATACACAAACTAGCTGATTGGGTTCAACTGGTTAATCCTCTCACCGTACTGAGCGTAGAGGCAATAATGATTACTTGTGAGGGTGTAAAAGGTTCCGTCGGTAAAATTAATCTTCATTCCACTGAAATTTAGATCGTACCTCTCTTTATTCCCTAGACAACTTTTAAATGTGAAAATATTTCTAAAGTTCTTCCAACTCCAAGGGGACAATTCATTCACAAGCGGCACTGAATATGTGAGTGGAGGAGAGAAACTAGTTAAGCCCATTATCAAGGGATGCATGAAAATAGCAAGTCGGAGTACAACATCAACAAAGAACCAGAGAATGCTCTGTGCTTTATTAAAAAAAAAGAAACAAGGTCCATCGCATCAAAAATTGTACTTAAGAGCTTGTTAATGCTTCTCGGTGTCTGATAAAAAGTGGTAAAATGTACATTGTTCAATTATAAAAATATATAGAAACAGCAGCTACGATAAACTTTTTTTCCTTACAGAATAGAATTCAGTATTAATTCCTTAGTTCAGGAAAGAGATATCGCTTATTTCACTTTTGATCTCTGGCAGAAGATAAAATAAGAAGCCAGTTTAAGAAACATTTAACACGTGCCCAACAGAAAACCCCCGCTACTCGATAGAACTGCCTAATAGCTTCATTCTTGGCCTTATACGTACTTACTTATCTTGTACTAAATAATATGAAGATTCCATCCTTCTACGCTATAGCGCTCCACTTGTTATTTTAACTGCTTAAAAGAAGCCCAATTTTGTCGAAGCCGAATGTACCATTGTGCATGATCGAGTCTAAATCAATTGTTCAGCTTATCGTTAAGTTCTTTGTTATTTCTGTTTTATCGATCTTTTTCCATAGGAAATGTTTGGCAACCATGCAAAACGTTCTGGAACATGATTTCCAATTATAGCGAAACGTTTCATCCTTGGAAAACGTATGTGGGGTGCCACGTGCACATTTATAACAAGAGAACTATGAAAATCATGGCAAACCAGGTTTGAAAGAAAAATAAAATGAAAAATTCTTTTGCAATGTTTGAACCCGTGGCTATTATGTAATACGTTGCCTCGTACAATCAACGATCTAATTAACGCTCTTGAGAGTTATCTAGTGTCTTGTTCTCGAGTTTCAACTCCTGCTTTGGCAGCTAATGCAAGTAAAAGGTTCCTCTGGTCCTGAATTGTTCCGATAATAGACAGCTGTCGTTGAGTGGTCTTTGCCAGTTCCTTGGTGAGGATTTCTAGCTTTTGCTCCTCCACCTGGTCTGCTGTCATATAATCTTCATCTTCATCAAGGTCTTGGTCAACGACAAAGGTGTACTCCCTAAAAATGTAAAGCAGAAATAAACTTTGACATTTTGCACTCAAGAGGAAAATTTCAAATCTTTTGTATAGAAGATACTCTTAGTCATCGATTTATCACCTCTGTCTGTGTTGAGATTTGCCGATTGTCTGATTAGGCCACATAAGCAAAAGAAGTGGAAATAGGAGAAAGGTGAGGGGAGAGTGGATAAGAATAATCCATAAGGTTAGTAAAACTATATCGTCCTGAAGATATGACGTGATATCTCTTTTAGATATCTATGAAGATATTCTACACTTCTTACTTTGTTAGATTTTCATGAAAAAAGAGCTTCAAAATGTATGTATACGCGAGCACCGATCGATTGAATGATGGACAAAAAGTATTTTTCACTTCTTTTCTCAAAAAGTAAAAGTCTCGATAGAAATATCCTTAGTTTCAAACGTTCTAAACTTCTTCAGACTCTATCATTTCCCATAAATAACACTAAATAGAGAAAGGTGAATCAAAAGGTAACCATCGATAAAGGTTTTTTTCTAAAAAAAGAATTGTCGTTATGATATTGTACATACTGTGACGAGATCTCCTTTTCCAAGAAGCTACCACTTATCACCAGTTGAGGCTTGTAAAAATAACGAGTGATGAATTTTGGAAATCTTCTTTCGACCCCGTAGACGAAGTCCACGAACTTTCCCTTGTTTCTGAGATATGCATATCGTTGCACGGATTCTATGTCACCCACAGCTAGACCGACCTGTGAAACACCACGGGAAATGAATACATGAGGTTCCTAAGGCTGGAGAAGGTTCATTAAGCAGGAAATTATTCTGTCTATTTTCCATTTATTTGCCGTTATCACATAGAAGAATATAATTAAAATGGGGAGTAAGCAGCGCAATTTGCAACTACAAAAGGTCTTCCGTCACTAAAGCGAAAGTAAGGAAAAGGCATTGTAGTTGTATTACTGCAAACTAAGAGTCACCCGTAGATCTGCTCCTATTGCGATAATACGTAACACCATTTCTCTCTAAATAGCCGCTGCGGAGTCTGAGTCACTGTGTTGAGTTCTGATGCAAAACACTTCGCTCGCGCGATGTCTCTCAACTCAGGAGTGTAAATGGGTATTGGTAATGGCGGGCATTGAACGAGCAATAGATTGGCATCCAATCCAGGAAGAGGGGAAATACTCCTACTCTCTTCCTACTACTTAAACGGGATGATCATATGATCCGAACGGCCCCGCGCGCGCAATCCCATAGAAAACCAAAGTGAAATGTGACGTTATAGAGCCGGACGGGTTGACGTGAGCCGGTCCGGGAAAAGCCGCCAGCCGTGCACTCGTATGGTCTTGGTACAAAAATTTACGTTAAAAAAAGAACAGAATTAGAAAAAGTTGCATTTTCGATGAATTCTTACTTTCTTGTTCTGACTCGAAAAAACAAAAGCCGAGAACCGTTTTTACTGAAGATTCGATTTTGTGGTTTTCCCGCATACGCCCATCTATCGCTTCATATTGAAACAATTAAGAACTGGTCATATGATAATGCTTATTGTCTGTGTTTGGTTGGGCCAGACGGCAACATTTATATTTGGCTCGCGGTCATATAAAGCACAGACATCGTTACAATCGGTCCATACGTCAAACATTTCAGTTGCCCGTAAGCTGAATATTTATATTTAAAACTCACTTACCAGAAGGTTCATGAGAACGATGGGTATAGCAAATATGAAGACGGATAGGAAGATGAGAGAAGATTCTCGGTAAGGCACTAAAGGCGCCCCGGAGTCCGAGGAGACGTTAAAATTGTCCACGATCATTGAGGTATAATCGAGCTCACCAATAGTCATTACAACCACTTTCATTAACGTTAAGCCAAATGTTTCAAACGATTCCTGGAAAAGCCAAAACAGAATAAAAGTTAAAATAACAGATTGGAATCATGATGGTTAATGAACTTGATTCTAGCACCAACCACCACTTGGATAAATGCCATTACATTGGCCAAATACGACGAATGGCAGGCTTATAATTAGTATACAGTACGTGCGTCAATACTTTGAATATCAATAAACTAGGGACAAGCTACGCGTTTGGCAAAACTGCCGCGAAAGCTGGAAACGGAGCAGGGTTATGAAGGGAAAGCATGACCTTCGAAAGGCTCCTGGAGGAAAGGACGTCAAACTCATTTCGTAGTTGTCCTAACCAGCCCTATTTCCTATTTCACCCGGAACCTAAACAATGAATTAAAATTTAAAATATAGCATTTGTCATTACCTGTTCCCTGAATAAAATGAAGAACACCACCGAAAAAGCAACAGAAAACAAGGCCAAAAGGCTGATGGCTTTACCCACAGTGGTTGCCACTTGGAAAAACATTGTCACGTAAATACCAACATAGTCCAGAGTTTGAACGAACAAAATAAGATTTACGTAGCCCAGAAATACAGCAAGTGTTCCTAACTGCCAGGTGAGGTTCGGATAACTTCGAAGACTTGTTAGACTCTCAAATATGTAAGGAAGAATGAATATTATTGTCGACAGATAAAGGACCCACTCCATCAAGTTTGTCACTTGTTTGAAATACTCTAGCCGCTGAACATAGATTTGATACAGCTCTTTTAAGAGATGGAAAGATGCAAAAATCAGAATAAGGAACTCAACTAAGTGTTTGAACACGTTAGTCTCATTCCTTCGGAAAACGGCCTCTTCTTCGTCGTCGACGTAACTATTTTTAGGTTTGAGCACAACATTGCCCCGTTCATGTAACATAAAATATGTCAAAAGCCCAAGAAATATGGAAAAAAGGATAAGGTTCGTCCAGTAAACAAACCATCCATAGACACGCCACTTGATCCGGAGGAGTTTTCTGGAAACATCATGAACCAGAAGATCTTTCTGTTTGTACTCTACCATGACCGCAAGACCAAAGAACGGCCTCCCACTGGGTCCACTGCTATCGTCAGGACCTGGATCGAGAAGGCTGAAATCGTATGTGATGGATCGACTGGTTGTAGACCTTTGAATACAGCGATCCAGTACAGATTTGGCAGAATCCGGGAACCTTTGAATTAGCTTGCCCATTCTGTTCTGACCATCAGAGCTCTTCGCAGACAAAACCTCTCTCCATCTGGAGATGAAAGGAATTTTCTTCGTTGTATCCATTAAGAACTTCATTACTCTGCTCTACTTTGACAATTAAAACAGAGCGGTAGAAATATCGCGTGTACGCTGAACGTGTCAGTCATTAACGCAAGGAGTAAACGTGAAGCAATTCTTAGGGTAAATTCAGTCATTCCCCTAACTCTCTGCAATATTCTATTTTGCTTTGTTGATGGGCTCATAACAACTTACTGTGGTGCTTACCTCGAATTTTTTATTATAGTCATAACAACGTCACTTTGCTGGTTATCTATGGCCACATCGAGGCAGTTGAGGCCGTTTTCGTTCGGTTTTAAGCTTGCTTGTTTACTCAAAAGCATTTTTACAACATCCACGTGCCCTCTTGTGGACGCAATCAGGAGTGCAGTGCTTCCAGTTTTGTCTTGGTGGTCTATGTTGGCGTTCTTTTCAAGGAACAGTTGGATTATGCTACCTGTACCTGTCTTTGCAGCGAGTAGAAGAGGAGTGGAGTCATTGACGTCAACGCTGTCGACTTGTGCGCCCATGCGCAAGAGGGTTAAGCAGATTTTCCTTAAGCAGAAAATGGATATCATACGTTCAGTTTGCCTTATGGCCATGGTGGTTTTCAAAAACAATAGAAACAAGGAAATGTTATTGTAACGTGTGCTCAGATACTACTATTTGTAAATTATAAATTTGTTAACACAGGCCTAAGTACCACGTTTAAGTATTTATTGCTTCGCCAAGTGAAAATAACCATCTGTCTTAATTTGACACCTTCATGCCCTAAATAACACATTTGAAGCGAATGACAAGTCCATACTCATTTCCATTCAATGCTGCGAGATGTAATGGTGTCCGTCCTTCGGGATCCTTTTGGTCAACACTGGCGCAAGAATTCTTGACCAGAGCTTCAACATGACGAACTCTTCCGGTTTCAGCTGCCATGTGCAGGGCAGTTTTACCAGCACCATTTGTGAGGAGACTGTTCGCCTTCCTTCCCAATAAAATGTCTAACAACTGAAAAGTTCAAGAAAAACACAGAAAAGAAAAAGGAGAGAAGAGACTCAACAAACCATGGACGGCACAATGTGCTTAGGGCAAAGAATTAAAAAATAAGACTATCCATCGTGAAAAGGAGAATCCCAGATAATAAGTAGGGTGTTCTTACGTTGCCTACGTTTAGGTCTTGAGTTTTTAAGTGAGTTGGAACAGCAAATACAGATTTTTATGGCTTTCCAATTGCTCACTGAAGATTTCACTGCGCTTTTGAAAACTCATTCGGTTGCGAATGTAACCATCTCAACTGTGCATTTGTTTGTGCGTTTTCTTTTTTGATTTTATTTCCCTATCTCCTAAGAGGCACGCTTTCAAGCTGCATACGTAACCATATTATCACACAATTGAAATTACCCTTATATTAGCCGATAAAGCAGCACAATGCAATGGCGTCCTTTCATGAATATCAGGGGCATTAATGAGTTCACACTCTGGTCTTTGCAGCAACATGGCTAAGACCTCTTCTTTGTCGTTTTCTATGGCAAAGTGAATACAGCATCGCTGGTATTTGTCGCGAACTGTGATATTTGCACCACACTCCAGGAGTAACTCGGCACATCTGGTATGACCAGCAGCTACAGCGCAAAGAAAGGGCGTCATTCCCTCATCATCTTTCGGATCTCTGGATGCGAAGCTCTTGAGTAGAAGATCGATGCCGTCTTCACTTCCGAACGACGCTGCACTATAAAGATAGTTTGAGGAACAGTTTCGCGTGAAGTGTACTTTTGTAATAAAAATCGACAGTGCTTGTCAGATATCAGTTTTTTTCTCTCTGCTATAACCTATTCCGTGTCGTGCAGTTCAATGTACGTACTCAGTCGGTCTTTAACTTTTGCTAAATGTAATCTTTCGCATGGCAGATTATTATTCCAAAAAAGATAAAAGAATTTTTTTACTTCCCTGCACCTTTGAGCTTTGCCGTGGTCTCCTGCCCTCGAGACTAGGATGGAGAACGTGTTTCAAGTTCTCGGCTAAATGTTCTCGGTAATGCTCTTCCCAAGATCATAGGCTTAAGTTATTTATCTTACCACTGCAGGTTGCAACCCACCTGTGTAAAGGTGTTCTCTGCTTTCGATCCTTTATGTTTAATTGCGCTCCTCGCCGGATGAGGGATTCCACAATCTCTTTTCTTTTTCTGATAGAAGCCAAATGTAGGGGGGTCTTATGGTACCTGTTTTGCAAGTTGGGATCTGCACCGTGCTGTAGGAGGGTGCTACAAATGGAAACGTGACCTGTTTGGACAGCGATATGAAGCGCTGTGTTCTTGTCTCCGTTTGTTTGATTGATAATCTGGCCAAATTCTGGTACATCTCTGGTTGGCTGCATAGCGTAAGCTGGGTAATTTGTAATGTCCACCATAGCTGAAATATGATTTAATAAGAGATTATTAAAACAGCTGGGTTTTACTGGTATTAAATACCTATTACACTCGTTTACTGATATACTTCTTACCCCTCTACTTTTCTTCTGCAGACGCTGATGGTGGAAATCGACTCACAAGACTAAATCATTGACTCCAAGATATCTGATAGCCCTCAGGAAGAGGAATTGGAGTTCCTTTCTTGTTAATATTTATATTATTTGATAATCAGTTATAAATTTACTTCTAAAGAGCTGTTAATTTTTAGTTAGTGTACCATAGCATTGAAAAATCGCCCCTTCTCAGTTTACAAGAAGAGTTTTTTTGTCTTACAGTTCACTAGTTGGCGCAAACCTTTTTTTTTGGAAAATTATTCAAGTATTCAACCAATACTTTCAACACTTTGTTTCAAGGGGCTTCTTCACATACCTGCTTGAATAACTGCAGAAAAAATATCTGAGTTGGCAGCGCTTGCTGCCAGATGGAGACACGAGTTACCCTCTTTGGTAGATATACTAACACTTGCACCGTTGTGGAGAAGATCTCTACATATACCCTCATATCCACGACTGATGGCGATGTGTAGGGCAGTTACTTCTTGTCCGTTTTTTGCGTCAATTTCCAGGCTCTTTTCGTTTAGTAGGCGCTGAACGGTCTGTCTGTTGCCGAACTCTACCGCAATGTGAAGAGGAGTGCAGCCTCTTGATGTGCTAACGAAGTTTAGTTTCGCTCCCTTCTTCAGCAAAGAGTTAAGGGCTTCCAGGGAATTCGACCTGAAGAAAATGTGTTTAATATTCAGCTGTGGCAAAAAAAAAAAAAAAAAAAAAGGTGGAAATCTTTACAAAAAGCAGGGTAAAGCAAAGGAGTTGTTGGTTGATTTGGTGAGCTGGATTAAAATAAAATTGATTGATGATCTATGAAGTTGCAAGCCATTTCGTTCTAAAAGCTATTGTTTTCCCGTACGCGATTCAACGAGGTAAACAAGAAACCTTGTAAGAGTGTTAATTAGATAACTGTATGACCCATATTAAAAGCCGCTGATCGTTACCGAAGCAAATTTCGTAGTCACTTTTGCCCGTAACAGTTGAGATCGGAATGGGAATCCCTTGAGATCTCACGCCGAATTAATATCAGCAGTTGTTTGGCCTTTTTCTTTTTTTCAAGGGCCACCCAACCATCAAACACAAATATCAGCGATTTACCCCAAAGTTTCTTTTGTTTCGAATTCAGTGTGATGAATAATTTATGCAAAATTTCATATGCAATGAAAACATGTTTCGGGGCGAAATTACTCAGACTCTGGTACCTGTAAACAAACGTAGACGACGAAAAAGAAAAGGCTGCAAAAATTATGATTCGTCCTAATACGATTTCATCTGTTACTGGGTGATGTATTAGCATCAGCAATCGAAAGGATTACAGTCCCACGAAAGGCAAACAGTTAACCTGAAAGCAAATATTAGTATTGCGTATTAAAAAACACACAGTGAACAAACGCAGTGCGGCGAAACTAAACTTTCTCCGAACTTAAAACTGTATATCTAGTTCCGATGCACAATACGTCATAGAAGGTTAGGGATCTTCCTGGCCAGCAAGGTTTGACTTAAGTTGGTGTCAAATGACATGATAAAGAAGCATTTTTCTCTCGTTCATCGATTACCTGGCTGCGACATGAAGAGGAGTTAGACCCTCTCGATTGAGAACATCAACATTAGCGCCTGCTTTCAGCATGAACTCTACAACCTCAACTCGGTTCATTCTCGCTGCGTGGTGAAGAGCACCTTGGCCACTATGATCCAAAATGTCCGCTTTGTTTGTAGTTGATGAAAAGTAGGCTTTCACATAAGCCATGCGCCCGTCAGCCGCAGCTTCGAACAAATTAGTCTCTCCGCACTGTATCGATTGCATCTCATACGTATGACCATTCTGCGTTTCGGCGTTGACAATGGAAGGATTTAAAACTGGCGAGGGCATAAAATCAATGCGACTCATCGCCGCTCAAAGCAGAGAAATGCTGCGAAGAATGATATTGGTGCACCAGATGAGAAGTTCAAGCGACGGAATTATTAAGGGAAGCGACTGGATATCCGTGCTTATAATAACACCCCAATTTTCGATTTTCTAATTTCATCCGTAATGTTTTGAAGCAGCTGGTAATACATTTGCATAATTCTGGCTGATGACTTAACACTGGAGAGCGTTATTGAAAGTTTACTGAAAAGTTCTGACACCTTTACTTAACTTTAATTGCAATCTGTTATCATAGAGCTTTCGACACCGACTATTTGCATATCAAGCGACAAGTACCGCTGTGAATTGTAACGTCAGAAGAAATGTTTGCTTTGAGCATCAGGTCACGATCGACTTTTCTTCAATCAAAACTAGAAAAACCTCTGCCGACTTCATTGCTAAACGTTAGGAGAGTAGGAGAGGATTCTTGTTTCCTGGCCTTCTTAGTATTCTTTTGGAGCAATCCGTTCCACGTTGTTGGAATGCTCCGTAAAAAACTAATGGAAACGGCCAATTACACCACACAGGGTAAGTGCCAGGTCGCCTGCACTGCGATGGTGGCGCACGCAGAAGAAAAAACAAAATTCGTCTCGTCACAAGCGTGGAACAAGCAAATTCTCTGACTTTGATTCTCCCTGAATTCGTAATTCTCAGACGCGAGCCGAATTCGTAGGTCTGGACATCAAATTTTCTAATTGCCCCAGATTTGTGACAAGACATCTTTCCTTATTTTGTGGCGGCGCTCAACATTTGTCTTGTTTCTGATCTATTTGATCACCCCTAATCTCCAAAGTTTACATCAGAGATTCACGAAATAGCCTTAACCCTCTACGCCCTGACATCGATTTACATATTCTCCATACTGTTCACTATACATGTCTTTAGGAGCTGACAAGAAAAATTAGTTTGACGATCAAGAGCTTCAGTTTGTGATCATTTCCTTTATTCTCGCGTGAATAATCTTTGATTCAGGGATGATGTTGTTAGGAGAAATTAAATACTTGTCACTCTTAGGGGTTAAAGAGTTGTAATAAATACCCTAGTTACGTCGCTTGATGCCTTCAATCAAGTTGTTTTGTCCCGATTTTGCCTGAAAACAGTGAAGGAATTGTTTCAGAGTACGTTATCGAAATGGCAATGGCGAATTTCAAATATTATTGGTGCAATTTTCATAATGTTGTAGTGTTACTTACACATATTGCATTAAAACCATGTTTTATTCGTTAATCCTTATAATTCCCTTGAGGTTTGGTCGGAAAAAAGGCGAAATGATAGTCGTGTCTATGTCAGCTAAGCTTTGTTTGTATTGAGTCTCCCGTTGCCTAGCGACAATCGATCGTTTGCACGTAATCGATCAAGTGAATGTCACACAACGAGCAAGTGTCGATGCTTCTCAAAGTAACGGAAGACTCTCTCAGATGTTTAGATGAAAACAAAAATTCAGGGTAGTTTTAGTGGCACTTTTGAGAAGGAGACGGGGAATTTGAAGGAACGCTCGCTTGGATAGAGCGACAAAGTGCGGCAAAATCGATGATCACGATGACAGCTCTTTAGTCGTTTGAGGTTAGTGAAGTAATTAAGGATGTTGTTGAGAAAAATATCCCAAAACAAGGCTCATTTTGTAGATTTTTAATGGAAGTAACAGTTCTTCTCTTATTTGGCATAGATTTAAAGTCACTATTTGATCGTCGGTCGGCCGAAATGTATCAGTTGCCGACACTGAGTCGATTCATACTAGTTTCTTTGTGTGAATATTGAAATGTTAATTTTGTTAATCGTTGCTGTTGATAATTTCCAATGTAAGAAATTATTTTATTTTTAATTTTCTTAAAGTTTTTAAGCGACCCGTCGTAAACATCGGATTTTTTTTTCGTTCGTGACTTCCACATTACACTGAGCGTTCTTAAATTTTGGGAGAATTTTCCACACTGTTTTAAAACAAAGCTGTAGTCCCAAAGGTAATATGTTGATTCTGTTTAGTTGTTTTGTTTTCATCAGAGAACTGTAATCGTAATGAAGTATGGGGCTGTGCGAAAATCTTGCCAAATTTTGTGCCGGTCACTATGATTATCAACATTCCTTGTGACCTGGTGATTATTTATGTTTGTAAGTCATCGTGACGTAAAGAAACCGCTCAGTTTCTACCCGTGTAAAGCATTCAGTAGTAAAGAACCTAATTCACGCACTGTTCGATTTCATCATACAATTTGATCGTTGTTTTGTAGGATATGTGGTTTCCTTTGGCAGACTACTGCAGGTGATTATCGATTCACCTTGAGTGCACTCGTCAAATATGGCGGACGATTTAAAACTAACAGAACAAGATTATGTGAGATTCGCAGATGGAAAAGGTAACAACTCTAGTGAATGGAATAAGAAATATGGTAATTTTTTTTCTTTGTCCCACGCTCGTGACAAGACGAAAAACATTTTTCTCTAACTTTAATAATATAAATAACTCTTCTTTTTAGTGCTCTAACTGCGATTACGCGACACATGCTTCGCCTACCCACCACCTCAAACACATGTTTTATATTGGCTTAAGTGAAGTCGTGCCTTCCCCCCAGGAGAAACGGAGGGGGGAAGGGTACGGCTACACATAGGCTTGCTCTATATAGTCCTTTTATTTCACTTGAGTGATTGACCTATTAAGGACCCGTTTATTGATAAGGCCTCTTCTCACAATTTACAAGCCCGCAGGCTGCTTTAACTTTTCTGACCTTGCCTTGCCACTCTTTCGATTCCTCTGTAAAAATTTTTATACGTTCTTATATCAATGTGAGCTTTAAAATGAAATCACTCGTGTTGCTGTTTTGGTTCAAACGACCTAACCCAAAAGAACAGGCTAACTGGACGACCCCATGCCATTTGAAATTGAGGTGGCTTCAGATTTTAAGATGAGTATTAGTAGCATGACCCTAGAGGAGGATGAAGTCCTTGTTTGTCATGAACAACCTGTTGTTTCTGAAGTACACGTAGAGGCAATATCGGGAGAACTTGGCCAACAAATAGATAAGTGAACTTCAAAAAAGAGTGGCCTTCGAAAAAGAGAGTTGTTACCGCTGAATTTGTTTAATTGGATCTCCAAATTGGCATAACCATGTGAGTTAGTCATTAAAATCTAGAGTAAACTGACTAGCTCGTTCCCAGAGCCTCGATCGTTTTGCTCCGTAAGCATCACTGGTTGCTCAGCTATGACTGAAGAAGTTCACTCAAATTTGAGTTATGTGAAACTCATTTGTTGTCGTGTCCATTAAGTTGTGTTACCTATCGAACCGTAGCGTTAGGAAAAGGTTTGAAATTTTGGATTCGACCTGGGCCTTCAACACCCGTCTCACTGGACAGCAGCACAGTACCCCCCCCCCCCCCCCCCCCCCCCACATGTAATACAGCATTACACGCGCATTTAGCACGCGTGACTCGTCCTCTTTTGAAGAATTGCTTTAACGCGGTTAGCACGTGCATGTGAACGCGTGTAATTACAATCAATCAGTGAATGTAAAATGTGTGAAAATTACGCAGAATTAATCAACCGTAACTTAATAAATGCAACCACTAGAACAAAAAGACAATGTATTCTATAATCTACTGAAGACCAGCAAGAGTCTGAACTTTGATGTTTTCTTAGCGGATTCAAGCGCAAGAAAGCGTGTGTTGACAAAGGGATTTACTTGCACCTCTTGCGCTATGATTTAATTTTCCGACCGGCAGGAGGGGGAACATTGCTTCATTGTGGATGCAAGAGCAAAGTGACCTTCCTTTGTGCAAGGATCTATAGTGTGGCTCCAAACTTGATATATTTAGGGTAAAATTTAATTAATATCAATCCAGATGAATCAACAATAACTTTGAGAACGAGACTGCAAAATTGTGACGTCGACTCCGTCGTATTTTTGTTGTACTTTTGAATGTGTAACTTCAGCATTATTTCTCTTAATTTCAGGAAGTCCAGCAGTCCATTTAGAACGAAATACATCTAATAGAAATACGGTGACGCCCCTGAATATCACCATGAAGGACCCTGATCACTCGTTGGAGCTGGATAAAATACTTTTACCAAACGAGAATTCGAAAGGAGAGCGACTTTGTCACGGAGCCCTGAAAATGTTGTCTCGTGGTAAAGGCGCCAGCATCTTCGATGCCATTAAACTAAAGGAGGCAGAAACTGGAGCTATAGACAGGGAATTACTAAGTGCCGAGGATAACGAGGGTTTTACGTTGCTTCACCATGCTTCACGATGCAATAAAGTTGATGAGGTCATCTGGCTATTAAACAGGGGAGTTGAAATCGACGCACCTGGAAATAACGGGCTCACTGCACTCAATATCGCCGTCAGGTATGATCTAGTTATTATAAGCAAAAGAAACGATGTTATCTGTAGAAACCTTTCTGAGTTTAGAAAAATCTGATTTTTATTTTTCTTTTCTGTTTTGATAAAACCATTATCTATGCTTGGCCTTCCTTCGTCGTCGGAAGCCGACCGTGTGTTTGTGAATAGAGGCCAATATGCAAATTGTTTTCGGTGTTTGATTTCCTGTGGAGTGGAATAGTCGAATAATAAAGACGGGTGCTAATCCAAAACAATGGTTAGACAAAGGCTCTTAACTCTCAAGGAATCGTGTAAGTTGACAAATACTGGTTGATTGAACCACCAAAAAGTCAAGATACATTAGAAGATATTCTTACCAACGTCATATTTGCCACGATCTCGGTTACATACGCTATCCGTATTCTGAAAAAAAACCTAACACACCAAATCGAATATAAATGAGCTCTTTTGGAGCCCTAAATAAATACGCCCAGTAAATAAATCTCCTGCCTTGTCACAACGTGGATATCTTGGAACCCAAGCCGGATTACTTCGAATATCAATATCAGCACTCTGCATGGCAACCCGTGTATCAAAGCTGTCACCTGCTCTTGTTCTAATTAGCAATAGAGGTTAATTATCTCTGTCTTCCATTACACCCCTTTCAAAATGAAACTTTCCAAATATAACTTCTCGGCAGGTTATGATCTTTCTTGAGATGCATGTTGCTGAATGTATCCCGATTGCTGCCTACGTCGTTGCTTGTCGCCAAAGCCTTTCAATGTTTCAGGAACGTTCTTATGTTTGAGGAAGATGTCTTCCTTTTTATAGATCTTGGCTGATCCGAAGTTATTTTAGCAAGTTTGAGCGCCGAGTCACTCGGAATTAAAACGCTCTTCTGAACAACTATCGTAGGCGTCTCATCTCTGTTTCCTCAGAAAAGAGAAAGCTACAACGTGTTCTGGGCATTCAAAAATAACTTTTTCGACTCATCTCAGTAGACTTAGTAAGTAGTCTCCGAGCTCAATCCGTCCAAATCATCATTAGTCTACTTCTAATATATGTACCATTCATGATTATTCCTTTACTTGAAATTTTATCCTTAACATTGCATTCCAACTAGTAGACCACATAAGTTTACATCTTAAATTATTTTCCAGAAATAATTGCACAGAGGTTGTAAGAATTCTACTTCAAAAAGGCGCAGACCCTTCAATACCTGACGAAGAAAACGAGACGCCACTGCTTTTCGCTTCTCGGCGAGGGTACAATGAAATCGCAGCCCTTCTCCTGAAGGATTCCAGGACTGAAGTAAACTGTGCTAACTCAGCAAAATTTACGCCTTTCCATGGCGCGAGTGGTGGCGGTGACCGTTCGCTTTGTGAAATGCTCTTGCAGTATGGCGCTGATTTATTTGCAAAAACTGGTAACCTGACGACTGCACTTCATTTTGTGGCTTTCAACTCAAACGAAGACGTTTGTGAACTGCTCATCTCCACAGGTACACATAAATGTTTATCACATTTTGTTAGTAAAGTTGGTTGGACGACAGAATCCGAAATTTCATGAAAAAACTCAAGAAAGAGTTGAATGCAACTTTACCTTACATAAGTGAGATGATGTTTTAATTCCATGTGTAACCAATCAACCGAATACAGACACCATCGTCAGATGAAATTTGAAGTGTATTCATAAATCGTTCTCCATTTAAAAAAAATTGTTCTCTGTTGCAGCTAAGAAGAAATGCCCGTCTGTGAGAGGCTTTTTGAATGCTAAAGATGTTGAGGACAGCACAGCCTTGCACGTATGTTGTCGAAAGGGAGCTTCTAAAGTCGCAGAATTGTTACTGCGTTATGGAGCGGATTATGAAGCAGTTACCGGAGTGAACTTCAGCACTCCTCTCCATCTCACCGCAATGTATGGCCACGAGGAAATAACAAAGCTGTTACTTACTTGTGGTGCCGACATTTCTAGTAAAGATGGACATTTGCAGACGCCTCTTCATAGGTAAGAACATGTCATAAGTGTTGAAGCTAAAGGTGGCCCGTACGGTTAAACCTCTACGGCAAATTTACACCTCCGTCTCAGAAGTTGTAAACGACAATCGACCATATCATGCTCAAAGGTTGGATGACATTTTGCACTAACTTATAAGCAACTATCCATCCCATAAGTGGGTCGATGTAGAAATTGTGGTGGGGTTGAGCTGCGGATTAATTGCTATCTGGTTTATAAATGGGGTAGCTTCTTTTTACAGAAATATCTTGAACATAAATATCTTGAATGAATAGAGATTTCACAGGTAAGCAGCATAATTAGAAAACCGAGGTCAAAAAAAAAATGGCCGAACTACATAGAGTGGCTTGGCAATTTTCAAAAATTTCAAAAGTAGATGTCATTCGATTAGATGTCATTCATTTCTTACGGTAATCGTTTTCGGAATCAATGTAGTAAAATCATGATATTTCTGTTTCGTGCTAGGGCTGCTGCGTTTAATCAAGTGAATGTAGTCAAAATCTTGTTGGATAGTGGAGCCGATAAAGAGGCTAAAGATATGATGGACATGACACCATTTTTGGGTGCTGTTGTTCATGGAGCTAAGGACACAGCAGAGCTGCTGCTCAATCAAGGAGCAAACGTTATGGCTGTCGATTCCGGGCACAACAGTTGTCTTCATTTAGGCGTGAAACGCAAACAGCTAGAGATTGTTAAAATGCTGCTGGTTACTGAAGGAAGAGAAAATCTGATGAAGCTGAGGAATAACGAGCTTCAAACTTTCGTGCATATTGCAGCTTCTCTCGAGCAAAAAGAGGTGAGTTGGATCTTCTTTTGCAATTCTAGCCTGTGAGAAGAATTGGTGGTCACGATATTGTAGGTGATGAGATCAAGTAATCGAACTCATGATGAGAAAACAGCCTACTGAGTCCAATTGTGGGAATCTCGTGTCCCGGAAGTTTCAATCCTTCTTAGGTACGTTGTCAGAAAAGGCGTTGAGTACGCAAAAGCTGTCTATTAGCTTGTGTAAACACGTACCAGTCCCTCAATGACTAAACTATTAAGTTGAGTCTCTCTGCACGCATTTAAGCTCTTTCTCACTCTTTTTCTTCAAACTTCAACCCCTCTCCATCTTCCTCTTTGATCAACTAAACGGAAAGAGAGTGGCCTCATGACATAGTTGAAAACTACTGCGTAGCGACGAGCTCAAAAATCTCATTAATTCCAGCAAAGACTACAATATTTCTGGGTACAAATCCCGCAGGCGTTGCTCAAAAGATATTCAGAGTTTGATGAGCCAATCAGGAGGGTCTTCGATGCTTTCCACGGAATTGGTACTACGAATGCGTACTGTCTGTTATCAATTTAAACTTACCTTTGTTTCCCCCTCAACAGATTCTTGATATCGTTCTGCGAGACGACTTCTGGTTAAGCCAAAGGGACTTGAATGAAAGAATTCCATTACACATTGCGGCAGAAAATGGTTCACTGGAATGTGTTCACTCTCTGCTGAGTTGCAAGGCGCTTTTCATTTACGGAAACGACAGAGATAAGGACGGAATGAGTCCGCTCCATCTCGCTGCTTTAAACAAGCACTTGTAAGTTTCTGTTTTTGTTTTTCCTTTTTTGGATTTTTTTTCATCATTTCTCTAAATAGAAGTAGGGCTCGTCAAAATTTGAGATTACACACTCCCCGAGAATTTGCAGTTGTTTCGGAGCAATCACTGAAGTGTATTACACCCACAGGGTCCTCTGCGATCCACAATACAAGGCTCGTTTAGGATCCATGTCTAAAATTATTCACTGTCAAGAGTCCACGTATTATTTTTTGGCAAAATTTGCAAAGCCTTACCTTTTAACACCAAAACTGTGAGTATACAAACAGTGCCTTTCCCTTCCTCCATTCTCCGTAATAATTAATGACATCTCCATCTCCTTGTGACGAATTAATTAAGTGAATGAGCGGCACTGTCCACCAATGTTTTGTTTTCTAGAGAAACTTGTGTTGTTTTGATGTCTAAAGGAAGTGACGTAACCGCACTTGACAACCAACAGTGTACTCCACTTCATCTAGCCGTCAAGGTTGGCTCATTGGAAACTGTCCGACTGTTGTTGAGTCCTATGTTGCCAAATACACTTGAGGTTAAAGATAAAGATCAAAACACACCCCTTCATGTGGCAGGAATGCATAATCGAGTCGAAATTTTAAATTTTCTTTTGGACCAAGGAGCTGATGTCACGGCTCGAAATAGCAAGAATATGACTTGTCTCGACGAGGCTATTGAGTGGAATGCAATTGAAGTGGCAGAAACACTCGTCAGGCATAAAAGGTTAAGTATGGTTAGAACGTTTGGTCCATTACGGTTGGCTCGATGAGACGTAATCCTTCATATAACCCTTATTCTAAGCTTATCTCTCTTAGGTTATCTTTTGGATTAACGTGTGAGGTCTATTCTTGTGCTCTCTCCCTGATAGAATAAATTTGGTGAATAGCCAAAATTATTTTCAAAAGATCTCCAAAACAGGATTGATCTATTAAAGAAGTCTTACAAACTACGCGTCTTAAGGAATTCGCTTTCCTAGCTTGATCCTTTCTTCAATTAAAAATGAAACATAAACTTGATTTCTTGAGAGATGCAATGAATTAATTGGGCTTTCTTGTTGTTAGGATTGTATACCCTTTTTTATGAATTCCACAACCGCCTTACGGCGTACATTTGCAATTGATAAGGAAACTGTTCCCAAGTGATTTTCGAAAGTGAAGCTCTCGCCGTCATACTGGAACACTGTCAAAACAAAACCTTGTAACATAGAATTGTTTTCATAAGTTCCTCGGCATTTCATTGCGTTGGAGTTCGATGTTATCTCATGGTTGTTTTTTGACGTTTATTTTCTAGATGGAAGGAGGTTTTGTGCGACACTCCTGTGGATCAAATTACACCTATGGAAAAACTGATAGAAAAGCTTCCGGGAGTAGCAGAGATTGTTTTGGATCAGTGCATCAACTACAGCGACCTGCCAACTAATCATCCCGATTTTACGGTCTCTTTCAATTTCCTTCCTTTGGATCCGGCTGCTGATCCAACAGGTCATCATTACTTTTTCGGTCCAGCTTCCATGGCAAAGTATCGTCGAGAGAGTCTCTTGGATCATTGTGTGACGCAGACGCTTTTAAAGTGGAAATGGCTTGTTCTAGGAAAGTATGTTAGCTATTTTAACTTCGCAGTTTTCATCGCATTTCTTATAGTTTTTTCCGTGTTCATCGTCCAGCAAAGAGACAAAGTGAACTTTTCAAGTGGCAATGCAGTGACCGAGGCTGGCGAGGATTCCAAGAGCCTTCCAGGAGTTATCTTTGCGTTCTTGATTATATCCTTGTTAAAAGAGATATTTCAGATATTTTGGCAGCGTCTTGGATACTTTAAGGATTACACAAATTTGGTAGACCTAAGCATGTATTTGAGCACTTTGATCTTTATTCTACCTTATTTGACCAACCAAGAGCTTTATGGCGACGTTCGCGTGCAGTGGACTTTCGGAACGTTAGCCTTGTTGCTATGCTACAGCAATTGGTGTCTCTCTTTACGTCGCATAACTTCCTTATCGTTGTACATAACCATGTACATCGAGGTACTGCAGACATTTGTGAGGGTGATCCTCATCTTTGCCGTCTTGCTCTTGGGATATACATTGGTCTTCTACGTTCTTTTAAAAGAAGAGGTAAGATGTTAATTTTTTGAAGCTAACGTTCTGCAATGTTAATTACTAGCATGCACAATAAGAACCACCGACCATAAATATGGAGGATCCGCCAACTGTTGCAAAATTTCGTTATTCATTTAATTTTTGCTGAAGGACCCTTTGATGAACCTTTTTCTAAAATTAGATCCTGTTTATTTTTGCCAAAATAGTTTCCATTAATAGCATTGGATGAATTGTTACCGGCTCATTCAGGTCTGCGGTTGAAACTTCAATAGAATTTAAATTCTCATTACCTTTACGTCGAGGGTTGATGACAACTTACAGTTTATTAGATATCTTGGTCACTGAGTGCGCTTACGTTGCCTTTCTTTTCAGGATACCTTTTCATCTGTTTGGGTTTCGATGGCGAAAATATTTGTTATGTTGTTGGGCGAAGTGGACTATACTGACATTCTGTCTGACAACGTGGTGAACAGCGCCAAAGTCCCGGGCACGAGTAACCTGTACGTTCCTCTACCGGTGCTGTCGTATATCTTATTCATACTGTTCGTGTTGTCAGTCTCCATCGTCCTTATGAATCTCCTGGTGAGTCACTGTACCCATAATTAGCTCCATACTCGATGGTGCGATCAAAAGAAAAAAAGAAAGGTTACAAATACCCAAAGCCGACTTGCTTGTTATTCATCTTAATTCCGCCGCGGGGGCTAGGCTATATAGTTCATTACGGGGCCCCTTAAACGTACACTAGTGTCTTTCAAACTACCTAAGTTTAATGATTTACTTTGTGTATAGGCCCCTTTTAAATTTGTTTTTTCTTCTGATTAGCCTCAGTGATAGTTTTACTTTGGTGAGTCCTTAACGGAATTCTCCAATTGAGGGCCTTACCTGTACACTAGTGTCAGACTTATTGGAATACATGATTTACCTTGTGTTCTTACTGACTCCTTCTCGAATTTTCGGTTTTTTTTATTGACCTCTTTAGTAGTTAACTTTGGCTTTGCAACATTCAACTGAGAAGCGCTCTAATTACTATTACTATGTTAGGTCGGTCTGGCCGTTGGGGACATAGACTCTATTCAGAAGACAGCAACTCTGCGAAATTTGATAGATCAAGCTTTGTTAGTGGACAGTATACGAAAGAGATATCCGACGTGGATGTTGAGACTAACTTACAAAGAATACCTTGAGTTCAAACTGAATCAGAACACGACTGTTAGGAGGTATGATTTGCATTAAAACGTACTCAGATCGTGTTGGTGAACTACTCAAAGCCCGCTCTTAAAATGCAGATTTGAATTGTGTGGATTTCTCTAGTGGAGTTGAAAGTTGAAAGCTTCCACAGAATGACTCTTGAAACGGCCTTCTGAATTTCCTAATTTTTAATACAAATGCAAGAAACAAAGGCGGCCGCCTTTATTCAAGGAGAATCATTTGCAAAGGGGAAATGCTCTTATGATATAGTAATTACCCGCAAAACGTGTCATATATACAGTGCTATCGTGAAAAAAGAAGAGTCACAAATTCTGCTTTTCTTTCAGATTTGTATTTTCTGGTACGGGTCTCTCAAATGAAGATTTCCTGGATATCATTGGCAAGAACGAATCCAGCCAAAACGAAGTTGAAGGTGACTTAGATGAGTATGATCGGCATAGGATCGAAAGACAAGAAGAACAAATGAAGAGACTTCAAGCCACTGTAGATGCTCAAAGCAAAGTACTCACAGCTATAGCTAATAAACTGGGGATAAATGAATAACTAAACACATATTAAGTAAATGCCAATTTTATCCGGACAAATTCAAATACGAAGAAGGACGCATTATGTCGTTTAGAGTGCATTTCCCAATCATCAATTAGAGAACAATTGCTCTTTTGCTAACCATGTTTGCATGCCACGACAATGTTTGTAATTACAATGTCAGAATCAGTTTTAATATATTTTATGATAATTAAAGATAAGTGAATCAAATAATTGACGTCGTCGGGTGAATTATTTGAGAAAACTGAATTAATTTATATTTGAATTCATCTTGCGAAATATTTACTTCAGGTCTTGAAAGGGAGAGAAAAAAAGTAGAAATGCTTTAAAGGGCGGTCGCTGAAACCTTGTTTGTTTCTAAAATGTTTGTTCAAAACTGTGTTGCCTGTGATAAAATCGGCCCTAGGGCACACCCCTCTCTTTTTAGAGACCACTGATGTAAGATAGGATATCACTCTCCCTTCCAGGGTGACACAATGAGATCCTGAGTGTGCCTACTTTAGAAATTGCTGTCGGCAATATCAGATTCTTTTGGACAGTCTTTCATGATAACCAAACATCTGCGCTGCTGGAGCAAAGTGTTGTGAGATGAAAATACTCTGTAAACTTCAAATTTAACAATTACAGAAAATTTAATGGCGCGTGCTACGTTTCAATTTTTGGAAATTTGTGTGGTCTCGCTACTAATAAATGTTGCGTAGTTGGAACATTAATTTCAACGCAATTTTCTCAGATATTTGTACGGTTCACATGGGAAAGGTTTCACCATCGCCGTATATTTACAAGTTTATGAATTAAAAAAAAAAGACAAAAAAGACAAAACAAAACAAAACAAAAAGGCCGAAGAAAAAACTGTCATTCGTGTCAGGCTGGTGATCATGAAATTCAAGCGTCATTTTAGAACTCTTAAAACGGCAATTACTCTAAAACGTGATATAGAAATATCAGTTACTTAGACTAACTTCCTTACTCTACGACCGAAGGAGCAACCAGTTAGGCTCAGAAAACCCCTGATTTATTTATCGATTTATCTCTCTTCGCATAATCTTTCGTTAATTAGGAAAAAATTAACAAATGTCACTATCCATTTCAGTGTCGTTGATTCACCTGTTTTGGTAAAAATTGGAGTACGATTTCCGCCGCTGAACGAAGAACAGTGCAATCAGTTAAAAGAGCTGTGATAATGCCAATTTTATATTATCAAGAGCATAATAAATCATTACAATAACACGTTTCGTTGAAGGACAAGTATGCCAAGCTGTTTGCTTTTTCCCCATCCACCGCCTCCATTTCGTGCTATTTACCAAAGCAACTGTTGTGAAACTAATCATCTGTAATTAATATGACTTCATCTGCATCTTCGGACGTGTTTCGGATTTGGCGCTGATCGTGTAACGTCAGAAAGTGTTGTTGACGATCACGTTCGCCGACCTTCATCATCATCATGAGCAATCTAATGTCGACATATCGAGTTGTTGGGGGAAAAAATGGAAAAGGTTTGATACCTACCCCTTTTCTTACCTATATTGATTGTTTACTGTGACAAAGAAACGATGCTTTCCTCAGGTTAGAGTGAGGAGAATTGGTTGTTTATTATGACACAGACACGATTGCTTTCTTAGTTTAGTTTACGAAGATGTGGCAGAGCTACTATTCCAATTCAAGTTGAAGATTTGATCCAGTCCTTTTTATTATTCACCAAATGAGAAATGGAGACTAAATTGTTCGAAAGTTGCTTTACATGCTCCTATATTCTTGCGTGGGAAGTACGTGCGTTTTTATGATTGCATGCGGTTTCGTCACGAAAACGCGACAGTGTTGCTGATTGTTCGGCTAGGTTAAGACTCACTAACTTATTAAGAACGAAGAAGTAGTTTTATGAAATAACCAACTACCGAATAAATGAGAAGACAGAACAAGTTATTTATGAGTAACAAGGCATTTTAAGTCAATTTACTTTCAAAACTTTTAATTAGAAGAAACCTCAACTACTTAGAATCTAATTAAAAGCTCCAACGATTTCAGATGTTGATATCCCGAGATCAAGCCGGGATTGTTAAGGTTACAGGACAGGAGGTTGAGAAGCATCGATCCCGACTGCTCTCCATGTCTGTAACACAACTAGCTCAGTGTTCTGTCTCTCCCTGTTGAACTTGTTAGATGCATCAAATGCGATAATATCAAATTGAAATGACGCTCTTTCATTAAATTCAGAAAGCAATACAATCATATCGCTTCATAATACCGGTAAATCATCACAAAAGTCGCATGCATACTTTTAGGGCAAAATGAGTCCCCATTCTCCTTTTAATTATTTAGGTAAAGAATGATTTGTTCACTAGCAGTGCTTGTGTGACACAGATATTCTCTCTGTGAAGATTGCTTACCTTCTTCTCACCAGTAACAGTGGCCAGAAAAAGCATAATTCTTTGCGAAAATAAATCTTGTTAATTTTTAAGTTCGTTGGAAATATTCCTCTGACTTTTTCATTGTGGATTGTGCGATCTGACGTTCTGATATGTAAATTCATTTAATTATTTTGTCATAAAAAGTCTCATTCGGAGAGGATTTATCGCTTATTTGATAACGTTTACAGCACCTGCAGTAAATGTTTACAGAAACAGCTTGAAATGCCATATATTAAATGAAGCAGCTCAGAATAAAAATATTCAAAATACACTAATTTTACCAAACATTGGATTAAAAACTGTGCAACAAAAGGAACTAGTCTCTTTCTGGGCAAATTTCTAAGAATAAGAGAGATTGAGTTTTTTATCGCGCATGGTAAGTAGAAGAGTTAATTTTCAGCTGCTAAGTTTTCCTCTGTTACTCGATGTCTTTTTGACCTTTCATCTCCTTCCTTGGCCATCTATGTTTCCCCTTGGAGAGGTTTTAATTTTTTTAACCGCAAGTTGCTAAGTGGGAATCGAACAGGATAGTGGTCATGGTTGAAGAACAAGTAAATATTGGACCAAAATAATACCCATGTTTTTTGATAGTTGACATTTCAGGGAATGATGAAGTAGCTCTGATGGCGACAGCTTTTCTATATTTTCGAAGAAAAGTTGCAATATCGTGCACTCGAGTGTTCTCTAACGAAGAGGACGAAGGAGCACGCCGATAGCGAGAGTTTATAATCGCGTGTGATTGTGATCTCTGTTAATCTGCAAAATTTTCGGGCATGCAAACATATTTTTTCACTCTTCCATGGTCTATAGATGAATTTAATGTTCACCTCTATATTCGAGTCTCACTAGTTCAATCAAATTTACCATGGTTGCCAACCTGAAAAAACCCCTTGATTCAGGGATGGGGCCGAAAGCAAACTCAGAAAACTTGACTCTCATTCGCCAGAGTGAAGAGCTAACTTTTACTAACTTTTCGTGACAGCAGCCCATGGTCATCCTTACCCTATTCCTGTAAAAGGCTGAAATCATGAAATAAAATGTTATGTAAATCTTATCAATAGATACTGCAAGGTTGAGGTCTGGGGGCACCCAACGAAGCAACGCATCTTTGAACAAAGTTGATCCTCGGTTCGACAACGATTCTGTGGAACTAATGAACTACCATCCTGGTGACGTTGATGGAACTCGCATCCTGGTTCCTAATGTTGAAGTATATAGGCCGACCATGAATAGCTTTATTTACTTCTCGAACGAGAATTTTGCAGCCAAGGTAAATGTGAACACATTGAATCGGGAAGGAGTGGCCCCAATTCATCGAGCTGTTCGCATTAATGATGTTGGGGCATTAGCCTCTTTATTAGAAAGCGACGCAGATATCAATCTTGCAGACAGAACTGGATCGACGCCTCTTATCACTGCTGCAAGGTATACACAAGTCAGTTCATCAGCTGTACATTTTAATAACTCCACATAGAGAGATTCTCAATCTAGATAGCGCGGAATATTCTTTCTCTTTCTTCTCCTTTGATTTGAATCTTAGCCTTTTTTACACTAATAACCGAATAGGAGAAAAGTGAAAACAAAGGCAATCCTTTATTACATTTCATGTTGCAATTTAATACGTTTTATAAGAGGATAATTGTGCAGTCCCACTCGTTTTATATGTAAAGATTGATCCAAATTTAAGCGACATAAGTTTTGCTCAACAAGCAAACAGGCACCTTGGCTTCGTGAATCGAACAATGCTGGAAATAAATATGTTGAATTTAAAGTAGAACTTTGTATCGTTGTTTCGTTTGCAGATTTAACAGATCAGAGATGGTTAAGCTTCTTCTTGAAAGAGGAGCTAATCCTCTTATAGGAAATGAGTCTTCTTCGATTTCACCACTTCACGAAGCTGCCAGAAGGGGTTTCACGGAGATTTGTATTCTACTGCTGAATGATTCCAGAATAAAAGCTACCACTATAAACTACGGACATGTTTCGCCTTTGCACATGGCCTGCTTCGGCGGAGATCGAGCCACATGTGAACTGATCTTAAAACATGGTGCCGATGTTACCTACATTTCGAAGGTAACTAAAAATACTCCACTTCATTTTGCGGCTTGGAATGGGGATGAATATAATTGCAAGCTTCTTATCAACGCAGGTAATTGTTCGTTCTCCCTGACGTACATGAA